ACACACACACACACACATACGTACACACACATATACACACACACACACTACCATACACACTCATATTCATACTTGTACATCATCTCATGCACTCTCACGTACACACACACACACACACACACACACACACACACACACACACACACACACACACACACACACACACACACACACAACAATGCACACTCGCGTCCAACGGACACACCAGAGAGGACTGAAGTAAGAGCAATCATTGAATCAGCACGAAGAAGAGGAAGAAGAAAAAGAAGATACAACAAGAAGCACCTGTAGTAAGCTCCGTCCACACGCTTGTCCCATAGAAACACACCGGTCCCTCTTCCAGGAACTCTATTCACGTGACAGGGACGCCTGTTTACAGCGTCCACTGGACGAAAAGCTGACTGACCTTCATAATATATTTATTAACAATATTGTTTTCAATTTCAAGAACTACTTCAACGGAAAACGCTTGATACAGCTCAGAAACCTGTTCAAAGGCCCGTCAAGGCAAGAGAAAAGACACAAAATATCCTAAAAACACTACATGATACTCGTACATGGCACTCCTTAGGGGTGTGTCATCAATGTCACTGAACTACGGGTAGTGAGTGAAATAACACACAGAGAGAAATCTCTGTGTCCGTATAGTGTGTGCTATCCGAGCCACCAGTGGGTAGACAAACAGACAGACACAGACAAAAGGGACCAGGTCCAAACAGCCATCTCGTAGCTGAATACGGCGAGAGGGAGAGAGAATTCGCTGCCATCGCAGACCAGACGCGCACACACAAACGCACACGCGCGCGCGCCGGCGACCTCATGTTCACACGGAAGCGGCGCCGGTGGTCGAAGACGGGGTGTGTTCGGAAAGAGTTAATTGAAGAGGGTGAGTGGCGGGGGATCGAAGGTTGGACGGGGTGTCAGCGACCGGGTGTGCTGAGGACTGCTTTGAGCTTAAGAAGTGAGGGGAAAGAGAACCACATCAACACACAAAGGATCATTTAGTTCTGCGAAAAATACAGTAAAGGACAGTGTTTCTTTGAGTATTTAGAGGAGCTCATCAATACAATGATGGTCATTTAGTATAGGAGAAAATGCAAAATAGACAGAGTGTGTTTGTGTACAGAGAACCTTATTGATATCTACAGAAGAATGTGCAAAACAGACACGTGTTCGTTTGTTTGGGCAAATCTACAAAATAACAGTCATCTGGTGCTGGAAAAAAGTAAAACAGGCTAATAAAGAAAAGAAATAGCGCCGACCAGTGGTGCCTTCCAACCATAAGTTAGACAGAAAGATAAAAAATACATTTAGGAAAGTAAACAAGTCAGACCCACATGTCAGTGACACGTTCAAAGCATCCACACAAAAAGGAAGGTCGTGGAGATGTAGAGGGATTTGCATAGGGGGTGATAGTCTAGAGTTTGCTCGACTACTCCTTCGCTGACGGTTGTGTCCTGCAAGACATTAACCATTATGTCGATGACAAGTTTCCTCTCGGAGCATTGGAAGGACGGACTTTTGTCTGGAAAACAAAACCTCTCCTCAACTTCTTTCAAGAGAGACATGTAAAGAAAATTGAAACTGTTACTTGTTTCCAAAAAAAAAGAACAACTAGATCTATTAACTATTTTGACAGAACCGGAAAGCTGTATTCCACTGTAACAAAATCAAATAAAAATACGACACAAAAAAGACGAAATAAAACAAATAATAACGCATTCACACACACACACATATGTACAAACACACACACACACACACACACACACACACACACACACACACACACACACACGTCAACTTATCGGCACATTTGTCCATGCATTCCACTACTCAACCCCGATCCTGGCACTGAAAAAACATCCGTATGAGAATCGAGAGTACTGCAGGTGAGATAGAAAACCTACAAGAGCACACAATATCAGCCCAACGGAAATAATATATGTCAACCTGTGAACCCCATTTAACACTGATTTATCAACATCAATATCCGGACATATAATATCAGAAAAATTACGAGTTGTTTCCCATAGAACAGTACAGAGTCGGGCAAAAGCGCGAGTCAAACTGTGTAACACGACATCACATGTGGCCTTGAGGGAGCTCGGGAATCGATGAGTGTCTCGTGAGTCATTATCGGATTTTCCCCTTTTCTTTATTCTTCAGCGCGCATC